ATTAACAACAGGTCAGCGAATGCATTTGTTTTTGTAAAACTGGACAGGCTTATGGTTTTCGCGCGTGTTGAATTGAATTCATGTTGACCGCCAGACGGTAGAGTCATTAAAACATCATTAATGGTCGCGATAATGGCCTTTGACAGCGATACACGGTTCTATAACCCTAAATTTGGTGGTCAAAATAGGCGAGCGTGTTCCAGATGTTTTTTACATCTTACCCCCCGTTCGAGCCACGCACGGCATTTAACTTCCGTGTAAATACACGGACCTCGCACAGATATTTTTCTGGCTCGAACGCACCCTAATAGATTTTTCGTATTCATTCAAAAACACCATACATACAATTATTAAGATATTTTTTTAATAACATTAATAATCTTTCATTAAAAAGGAATGTATTCAGCCTGTAGAACGTCTAATGATTTATACAGCATTATATGTGTTTGATCAAGGAGGTTGGTTTGATTAATGTGTCCACACTCCAACTCTAAAATTCGACTTCGGTACATACTTGTTTAGTACTTACGACGACTTACATGTCGCATAGACTGGCATGGAACTTGATAGGCTTGGATATAACACCGGATATGTGGATGGCTATTCTAACTAGTACAGTATCACCCTTGATCAAGTCAAGGCCGCTGTGTTGAATAATTTACCTTGCAAAAGATAACATAAATCGACCGTTTAGTAGTAGAGCTCTGTCCAGCCGCTGCGGACATGTTGCTTAGATATTTCAAATGCGTTTAAAAAATAGAATCAGAGTTTTGACGAGATCACAGTGTAAAATAATAAGGCAGAAGCATACGCAGAGGCGTATGAGAGGAAATGCGGTATACGTAATTGATAAAGCTTATCGCATGCTGTTGGATAAACGGAAGGGCAATGTAACAACATCGACATTCTGCGGACAATAATGAGACTATTTCATTTCTGAAACTGCCAACACCTTGGTCACATCTTCCGTTGCTTATATCTTGCAATGATGCCTGAGAACAATGCAAGGTAAGTGGCAAAGAAAAAAATGTTTTGGTCATAACCAACGGGGTTTTCCAACATTACAATTTATTAGGTGCACATTATATCCTACAGGTTGGCAAAGATATTGTTTCCTTACTGTAGATTATGTTTCATGTCTGTGTCTCAATACATTACAATGCATCACTATAATAATCTTTGTGAGTTAGATAGTTCTGCCACTTACCAATTGCATGTAGGTCGAAGTAGTACGCTTTTAAGATGCAGATTTCTTTATAACTAATATAAGCTTACTAACTTATAGACCGATTTTATATACAAGGCTCTGTTTATCAAGTGCATGAGTTCTCTAATTGAACGACGATCGGTACTGTACGTTTAAATTTATTATATATATCTTTCTAATGTCAGAATTGTAAGTTCTAAGAAACTCGAAATCTTTCTCATCATTATCAATATCGTATTATTGTTCTTAAAACATGTGGTTTCATTTGTTTCAGTATAGATTATACATATATTGTGATTGGACTGTCATTATTTGTTGGCTTTATCATCGTATTTGGAATAGTATGCTATTGTAACCGTCGAGTAGCCAGAAACAGGCGCGAAACCAACCAAACTGTTGAAGACGTGTCTGCGCACAGAATTTCAGGTATTCAACAAGCTGACGATAATGACAGCTTTATATTCATTCTTAAAACACACTGAAGAGGAAATATTATTTTAACCTAAACAATTGCAAGAAATGATTTTTATTTTATTTTTTTTACAAAGGCGACCACTGTCGGTAAGCCTATGTATTATAACACCGTACCGCAACCAATGGGTCGCGACCCAATGTCTGGGTGGCGAAAAAAAATTGATGAGTCGCTTAAACTTTACAAAAGAAATTAAATTATAGTAAACGAAAGTGCAATTTTAAGTGCATCAGTTTATTTTTGTTATGCCTGCGTTATCACGGTTTCATGTTAACAATATCGAAACATTTGTACTTCAGGTATGACAACTTTAAAGTATTAGTTTTGTTCATTTCAATGTGTTAGGCCTTCAGCTGCAAATTATATTGAGAAAACATTTTTAAATTTTATGTGTTTATGTCTTCGCATAACCCATTAAATCTCTGGCAGTACTAGGAATTTATAATAAAATGTTTGTTAATGATTCATTTTTAAAAGTCTTTAACTTATTGAAAAATTTACGTGATTTTGTTAAATGAGTAATTTAAAGTTATATTTTCATTTTTATGGGTTTTAACTAGTGATATTGTAGGTGATAATATATTTTAATCAATTCACAAAAGAATAAAGTGGGTGGTTCTTCCCGCTATCCCTCGCGCGGACGTTTTATTGACTTTGGATTCGATGTGTCGCGTCAGAGTGCTTGACATATAATTTGGGTCGTGGGCTAAAAAGGTTGCGGAAAGGGGTATGATAATATATTCCATCTACAAGTCTCCTCGGAGTGCTTTCTATTTTCCTTAGACTTAACACGGCTTTACAACTACAGTAATTCAAAAATTCATCAAAAACCAACTTTCCGATCTTGTTCCTGTTCAAAATTATGGTTTCCTTTCCTCAAACATCATTTTGTATAGCATTCTTAAGTTATTATTTTGAAACTAATTGGATAAATCTGACAATAATGGTTTATATGAGTGTGTTTTCAAGCCATCATTTCTAATGTTATGTTTTGCTGATATCGTTTCTGAATTTACTAAACAATACATAATAGACTAATGTTGGCAGTCATTAAGAATGATCTATCAAAACAAGGAAGGAGTACTAAGGTAATGGTATAATGATAGCAATAAAGGAAATTTTAGTATAGAGTAGAAGCGGTCGGCGCAAGTCGCTTGTATCTACTTTTGTTTGTGTTTGGTGTCCTACCCAGGAGAATAAATTGGTACCAGCATATTTTGCTGGGAAGGATCAGACTGCTGTACGGGAGGAGTGCGAACCCCCAGAGTCTTGCACAGTCTGGCCCAAACACCAAGGAACAGGAGACGGGCCCTTCGGCCTGTGAGCCCTTAGCTTCAGGTTTTGACTTTACCTAAAGGAAATGTTAAAAAAAAAAAAAAGAGATTAATAGAACACACTAAGCTAACAACGAAAACTTATTTTAACTTTGACCACAAGAGCCACAAATGAAGTAATCTGTATCTAAATGATAGGATTTAGAAAGTGAGGGACATCATTTGATCCCTAAAGGTTTACACTGCTTCGCGCGGCCTATAGACATTTAATCTTCTGGAGGTAATATGTATCCAAATTTCGACTTGGGGCCCCTGAACCACATCGTAGGTGCGGTACCATCAAAATTGTATTAGGCCTACTCGACATTGTTGGCACGAATCTAATTTCTAATGATCTTAAAAAGATTTTTAAAAATTAAAAATAAACCTATGATGTAGCATACAGCTATCAAAACAAGGAAGAAACAAAAGGAAACGTTTTAACAATTAAAGATGTTGAAACGTAAATGTCAACAAAGAAATACGTTGGCAGAATTAGTCAACCTTACCACCGCTAAATCTCAATAATACTTCCATTTTCGAAGAACTAAAAATCTGTCTACACCTGCTGATGACGACGGCATTATGTTTTCAAAAACAACACACATGTTTTGTGGGATCTTAGCAAAGGGGCGGGGATTAGCAGAAATGTCCATTCACACATTCTACTTTAATTTCATCCTTTCTGTCATACCTCTGTCTTTTATACCACAGGCATCGGCATAGTTTGAACGTTGGGTGTGTTTGTAAAACGTATTGTCAGTTATTGAAGTGCATTCAATTCCAAAACTAATAAAAATAGTTTGTTGCAACCCTTTGTGGTCACTCTATATCTATATTCTATAAACTTTACATTCATTGTAAAATTCAAATATTTTTTCATGGACTGCTTCACATTTTATACAAAATATACAAATACGAAATTTTCAACAGTTATCATTATCATAATAATCATTATCGTTAGCTTGTACTTGAGATCGTCCCTTATAATATGTTTATATGTTTTCGAGACCGGAACTACTTCGGCGTTCAGCGTTTCCTTTATAGTTTGAATCGTGTACGTCTCAGACTGATTGTTACCGGTAGTTTCTGTATATTCTAAACCAATTTGCCATTCTGTATTTTATGCCGGACTTTCTTTAAAGTATGCAGTTCATATTCTGTAGTAAAACAAATATTTAGTTTCCTGTAATTATTGTTGTTATTGACAAATTATCGACAAATAGACCTAAAAAAAGTTCAAAACAGAAAGTGCATTTGTTTAATTGCTACAAAAAGTTCAATTCAAGGATGGGAATTACATCGTATGACACATTCAAAACCATTATTCAAAATATTGACAATTTTTAAAGTGGTAGTATTTTTTCATTTTTCTTTTCATAGGCTATAATTTATCCATCTTATTTTGCAAATTTTGTTATCTTCTCAAATTTATCAGCGAAATTTAAAATATCATAACCTGTATAAGGGGTCGTTCAACATTTTCACATGTTTACAAACAGTACGCTAGTGGGATGGGGGTAGACAAATTTGTACACGTTTCCATATGCATAAAAATGTTAATTAAAAATAACATGCAAAGTGTAAAATAATGGTAAAATTATAATGTACCATGGATATAATATTTACTTTTTAGCAACCAAGTACATTCTTTTAGTTGAATTCACACAAAAAATGGAGAATGGTTTTACAAATCAACATTTTTTGTATACTTTAAGGGGGGGGGGGGGCGAAGGGTTAACGAAAAATAGTACTGTTTGTACACTTGTGGAAATGTTGATAATTGTGAACGAACCCTAAGCTATCTTACGCATTTAATCCTTAATCTTTAATTTTATATTTTGTGTATTTGATGATTTTCTATTTTACGGCATTTTCAGGTGAAATGGAGATATTCTGGAAGGTCAGCATGAAAACCACTCAGCTACTCCACTATAACTATATCAAATTGAATTTAATCTTATTTTATTTTATAGTTGAAGATGAGATCGGTTTAGAGAAAAGTGGCGATGCGATGGTAATTAAAGATGCTTCTGATGATGGACAAAGGAACGTATACAGCGACGAACCAAACCAAGACCTTCATGTAAATTTCAAAGAAAATCAAGAAACGACATTAAACACATTGGAGAGACAAAACAACTATTTCAAAATTGATGAGAATGAGTGTGAAGACGAAACTGACGAGGAAGGATATTATGAATCGGGTTTATCGGACAAGGAGTGTGGGTACTCGACAATAGATGAATTATCTGCAGACGATGAATGTAGTGAAGAAGGTATATACCATCGTATAGACGATGTTTATTCGGTACAACATAGCAGTAGCGAAATGAGCGAAAGTGATTCAGTTTACGCCGTTATCAAAGACTTGTTTGAATTATCCCCTAAACCGAACTACTATCTTTCTTTGTACGGAGGCTCAGAGGATGAACAATCTGATTTATCAGATTATCATAGAATATCATCTCTGAGTGAGGTTGAAAGTGAGGCCAGTTACACTACTATTGAGGAGTGGGAACTACATCAATCCACATCTAACAACCTTAGCGTGGATGAAGCTGGCTATCTCGTGATAACTGGCTCTACAGACAACATAGGCCTACAAATATCTGCAGATGCCGAAACAAACTCTGAGAAAAATCTAACCTCCTTAGATAGGCCTAATGAAGAAAATAGCATAGATCATAATTTATGCACGCAGAATAACCAGACGGCATGAGGATCGCAATGAAAATCATTACTTGTTAGTTCCGTTAAAAAAAGACAGAGTTAATCCAATTTCTTGCTTAGTTAATCCAATATATTGCTTAGTACATCATTTACACCACTTAAATTAGTTGTATTCACATCCCCTTACACTCAGCAATTAAAAGTTAAATTTATGTAAATACTTCATAAATTACGTTATTATGCAAAACGATGGGAAATTTGTTTGATCGCTGAGTGTAAGAGGATGTGTATACTAGTTTAAGTGGTGTAAATGGTGTACTAAGCAATATATCCGGTGAAATTGGATTAACTCTGTCTTTTTATTAAATGAAATACATGTTTTTAAATATTTAAAAGCTGAGGGGAAAGGGGCGTAGCTCCGTCTTTTCCCACAGTTTTAAAAATATTTTTCAACTGGAGCCTGGCTTTAATACAAATTATAAACGTTAAAGAGGAGTAATCCCAACTGCGACCTGCGACACAAAGCAACAAATGATATAACAAAGTTATATCATTAATATTTCCCACGACTAAAATAGATGAAACAAAATATTAAAAAGTTCATGTTATGTCAGAAGACGAACTACTTGAGAAGTAAGTACAACAGTTTGGACTTTGACTTTTGACTTAATTAAGTATACCACAACATCAATAATAAATAGCAAATAACAATGATTTTCTTCAAAGTTAATACATACTTTAAAATAGGGAAAAGGATTAAAGTCGCGATAAAAATGCGATGTTGTAAACCATAGTATACTAGGATAGCCAATGAAAGTTGTATAAAACGACTTATTTCCAATGGGGTCCTTGTGAAACAATAGTCATAAAATTAAATTTGCATATCGCATTGCATAAAATAGTAGATTAAAAAGGCATATTAAATGCCTTTTTAACGTAGGCCTATTATTTTATGCAGTTTCGGACATCGTTCAACGGTTAATTTATTAATTTATATATAATTAGACCATTTTCAATAGATTTACTGCTTTATTTCAAAAAATGATGTTTGGAAGTTGATATTTGCTAATTTATGTATGTTTTTAACAAAAAATATTAGGTGTACGTCCACAACTTTGAGACAAGTATGTCCATAACCATGAGTGTACGTCCATAACTATAAGAAAATTAACATAAAACCTATGTACTATCAATACATGAGACTAGCTAAGTTATATTAGGAAGCTCCAAGTCTATTGTATACACATATTTTTATTTATTATTTTAGACCTCACACTTCTCAGAGTTTTTAAAAATGTTTAATGTATGTGTGAAAGTCATTTTCTCTGCGTACGTCCATAACCGGCTATTTTTAGAACATTACTATTAAATTATAAAAGATAGAGGGCTGATAGTTGTCATGGTAGTACTAGTTGGTATACTTGAGATTTCCATATCAAAAGTAACCCAAACCCATTGGCCTGTATTGAAGGCTTTGTTAAGTTCTCTGAAATGTACGTCCATAACTATGGAACTGCCCATATATATACAGTG